GGCCCCACCTCTCAAGCCTGTGATGACTTCTTATTTCCTAATGACCAAAAAAACCTGGAAGGGGAGTGTGTAGGGGAAACAGTACTAAACTTAAACCATCAAATTGTAAAGGAGATATCAAGATTTATATTGGTATTTGTATCTAGAAAAAACGCTTTCACAGTTACACCTTAAAGCTCGTGTTGGTGATAACCTGTGGTTATACTCTCTTCATCGAAACCACCTCATTCAGTATGACTACATTACCTGAATTTGCAATAATGTTTTTGTCAAGAAGGTAGAAACCAGAAAGCCTGGCTTCTATGGAAACTGTGGATCTGAACAGTGAATGCATGTTCATTATTGTTGCCTCTTGGCTTAACAAAATTGTGAGGTTTTATTGCTAGTGTATCAAGGGTCAGAACACACAGACCACTACAGAGGAGAACTTAAGAATGGTCCTCACTTATCTACTGTGAAACTATACCCAAAATTTTAGACAAAGCATTGGCAGAGATAATTAATGGACCCTCCACTCTGGTATGTTATGTTACTTGGGGTGAAAAAAGTGAATAGTTTTTGCAAGCAATACAAATACTACGTTGTTTGGGGGGTTTTTTTAAGACTTTGTAAGTCAACTGTGTCAGGCACAGACATGTGACGTAATACAGTGCTATTCCATGTGTGTACACTATAATAAAATTTAGAATAAGGATTTATTCATGTTGGCACTTGTATTCATCACATGTTAAAATCTGAGGAAGATGTTTAGGGTATGTGGAGTACTGGAGAGTTTAAATGTATGTGGCCTGTACCTCTAGATCCTGTTTTTCTTCACAAATTTAGACTAAATTTAACTCAGGAGGTCCTAAATATACTTGGATCATTTCCATAAGTAATGGCTACATAATCATATGTTCTTTGTGTGGGTTTTTTTGTTGTGTTGTTTTGGTTTGGTTTGTTTTTTTTTTTTACTGCTGTCTCCCACAGAAGAAAGCAATACAAGAATACCTTTGACCGGCTCCACAAGAGCCCAGGGAGAGCTTCTTGCTTGTCTCTCCATATTTGTGTGTGAATTTTTCTTCCGTCCCAGTTGTGATCAACTATTGTACAGACATAATTGGTTTTTTGTCTTTATGGTAGCTGTATGAATAATTGAAACACTCACTATTTTTGGGTGCTGAGAGTTTGTGATAAGAGGAATTATTTTTATTATTTCTAGTGAGACAGGCTTGGAAAATTGATTCACAGGTGAAATTTTGGGAGGTCAAATGTGTTGTTCACATTTGATACAGTTTAAAATTTGGAAGCAACAAGTGTCCTGTGATGTATGTGTGAAGATCAGAGTTCTCACAGGTGATCTAGTGATATATGTCAGTTCTGACCAAACTGCTGGTTTTGTTTCATGATTAAATCTACTTCAGAATGGAAAAATACTTGTTCACCTGCCTGTCTCGCTTTACCATGTCTTCTCTGATGGATCTCAAATACATTTTAGCCTCAAATACACAGGGAGGAAGGAAGAGGGTGGTAGTGGACCTCTGTTCTCCAATGTGCAGCAGTGGTAGCATATTCATTGCAGATGTGCAAGAGTGAAGTGTAAATTTTTCCTTCTGATGGCATTTGAATTTATCTCCCACTCTCTAAAAGAATTCTTGGGCATGAATCATGTGGTTTGTATTGCAGCTGTTTTACTCTGCTGAAATAAATATTCATTGGGGAAAAGAAAAAAGAAATTCCTCTTAGTTGTGGAATTAATAACTTGAGAAACTTGCAGACATGGGGTATTGGAAAGGCTGCAAAGTTGGAAGCAGGAAAACTTTAGCTTCAGCCCCATTAATACTCAAGAGTACCAAGACTTAAACCATGCCGTTTTCTTTGACAGTTTCTTGGCAGGCTTGAGTAGGCAGCTCCCAGTTAATGCACTGGCTGTTTTAAACTTCATTCTTTGGCATTAAAGTCTTCTCTTAAAATGTATAGCAAATGTAAGTGCCTGTCTTTGATGGTGAGGATTCAGCTAGGTGGCAAGGCACCTGATCCAATGGGTATTGATATGTTTAAATATAGCTCAGGGGTGTTCAGAAGCTGGTAGTGCAGCTAGGATGAAATCTCTGATACTTTTGGCCACAGGCTCTGCAGTACCTCTTAGTGTATCCAAGAAATGGTAGCAATGATTCAAGAATATTTCATACATACTATTTAAAAAACAAACAAACAAACAAAAACAAACAAACAAAAAAAACCCCAAACCGCACTTGTACACGATAAACCCATTTTTTGGTGTTAATCTAACCTCACTAGAGCAAGGGAAATCAGAGTCCACAGTAGTAATTGGAATTACATGCTGCTGATTTTTTCAGGAATTCATTAGGCAAAACTTGAGCACTCAATGCTATTGTTTCAAATCTCCAGCTTAGAATTTCATTTTCCCAAGTTAACTAATGGTGATAGCAGTAGTATACTTAGGTTAATAGTAGGACTTTTGATCAAATATGAATTTCTGGAGGCATGCTTTTGAAGGAAAAAAAAAGATTGCTAGTAGTATAACCGACTGGACTTCGGCTCACTAATCACTAACATATCTTTATGAAGGAATTAGTTCTATTCTATAAGGTGGTGGATTTTTTTTAATTAATTGGGTAAATAAAAAGAATAAATGTAAAAGATAGTTGTTTTTCCTCACTGATGAACTAGTGCTCTTAGAATGTTATAAGGTACAACAGGAGAAGCTTTGTTCTTGTGTTTTGCTGTGTTAAATTTCATGGAAGCTTTTGTGTTCTGTCAGACTGAATTTATTTACTAAATCAGAAAAATATAATTTGTGTACAAAAAGTTATGGGCTCTATGTACATTTATGGTGATGTGATTCAGGGATGAGTAATTACAAAATATTTTCCAGCCTTAGGTAAATCATGGACATGAAATATATTGAGGAATAAAAGTGGTAAATAGTGTTAGTCTAGGTCACTACTTAATTTTGTTTACTATTCTAATCTTTTTGGCTCTTTGATTAGGTGGTTAGTTCCACGTGTGGTACACCAGTGTTTGCACTTGAGCCTGTGTTGAGGCCTTGCCGAACGTCCTGTATCTCTAGATTTTAGTGGATCTGAGATGTTGAGGATTTAATGCCAATCCCATTTTATTGAATATGCTATGAAAATATTTAATGAAAATAAATATTAACATAAAGGATAGCAGTGAAAAATCAAACTGAAAAGTAGTGTAAATTAATATAAAAGCTTGTTTAAGTGACTCAAACCAAATTTTTAGCAAATAAAATATACTTTTTATTGACTAAGTATGCAAGCACTTTCAAAATAGTATAGACAAGTTAGGTTTAATGGAACTTACAGACCTATTGACCACAGTGCAGAATTTCTGTGATTGAATCAATGAGTTTTCCTTAAATTTTGTTTTAGATGGCAATGAAAACAAAACAACGCATGCTAAAGGAAGACTGGGAATTTTTTAAACAGAGGCGTTTTATTGAAGAGCAGGTAGGATTTTTTTTAATACCATATTAAGTTATACAAATGCTCCATGTATATTTGTAAGATGAAAACATATGAGTATAGTATATTGTGCTAGTTCTATATGATCTAATTCTGCAACTATGCCAGGCATGAAATTTGGTTAGCTAAAATACAGAAAAGCAAGATCCAAGAAGAGTATGTAATAGTATGTAATCTCAGTTACTACAAGGTAGAAACAAGTACCATAGTCTTAAGATTGAATACCAGGTGTTAAAATTCTTTATACAATAAAGGGGGAATTTTTAATGCCTTAGGGTGGGATCCAAACAGCCAATACATTGAGTGTGGAGCTGCATTTATGTACGTGATAGGGAATATTGTGTTTAAGAGTTTAACAAATTCCCTTATGTGTGCAGAGCTGAGGAGGGTGAGCCATGGTGATGATTGCATCTGTTATGACTCTGGAGATGGCTCCTACATCTGTTTTGTGGGGAAAAGGCTGAGCAGAACTATCTGCTTTCTGTTTTTTTTTTTTTTTTTTTTTTAAGCTATAGCCAGAGAGGGTGAAGCACAAGTTCGTACCTTATTATAAAACTACCTGCTGCCTAAGCCACAATACTTTCTCCTGTAGCCTAGAACTGTTCAAGTATGTATCGTGCTTTCTGTAAGAGTACAGTGTCACCCACCTAGAGTCAAGACTGGGTGGGGAACCCCTCCATTCCTGTACCACTGTGCAGAAAGAAATGCTGGTCATGAGCCAGAAAAAGAGAGAGTATGACAGTACATTTTAATAAACTTAAATTTAAGCTTAAATTGGCAATGTCTCAAAGCAGTCATCAGTAAGTACTTTTTCCTGTAAGGAACATAAGCCTGCGTTAACCATGTCTTTAGAACATCTACTGTACAGGGCTCCTCAGAGGACTTGAGGAAGAATCCTCTTTTTCCTTGATCCTAATTGGTCTTAAGTGAGCTGTAAGCCCATTGCTGCTTAGGTAAGGATCAGATCTGGACATCTGTAGAAGTGGAAGCTTAGGCACATCTTTGTTTAACTTAAGGTTTGTAGGTATCTAATTAAATTAGATGCTTTCAGGATTAGGCCTCTACCAGGTGCAGGTTATTTGGATTGTATTTTTTCACTAATGCAGTTAGGTCCTGTTTGGGGCAGCTACTTCGTTCCTTGAATCTGTCTCATTGTGGCTACAGAATTAGTCCTAATTATTTTTTGCAAGCTAAGGGTGAGTTTGCATTCTCTCTCCATTTGTCAACAGTGTCCTTTTGTGTATACCATGAAACAAGACAAGAAGTGCTGAAGTTCAGAGTGTGTCAGCAGAAATACCATGCAAGATGCACATACAAATGAGTCCAGGAGGTGGACTTGGCCACCTTACTGTCTCATAGTAGAAACATACTTTCTTTGAAGAGTTTTAGTACGAAATGTTTGTTGATTGTAACTTTGAACTTCTTCCTTTTTTCACTTGTGATCAAAACACCACCTTCATGAAATTGTTCTGAATTATTCTGCTTTTAAAATATTTTGCCCAAAGAACTCTTTTTGATTATGTAATTTGTTAATCATGATGTGCCATTGAATTGTTAATGGAAAGACTTGCACTACTAAAACACTGCCTTTATAATTTACTTCAGCTTAATAACAAGAAAGCACTAGCTGGAGAGAACAACTTCACAGACACAATGAGACACATGCTGTCATCACGTTTGAGCATGCCTGACTGTCCCAACTGTAATTATAGAAGAAGGTGAGCTGATGTTTTTAATATGAAATCATAATCATTAATTTCTTGTTCAAGGAAAAAGGAAATACACTATTGGAACAAAGAGTGTGTTTACTTTAAATGAATGCTACTTAAACAAGGTCATAAAAATCTGTAATCTTAATTCTTGAACAGATGTACTTGTGATGACTGCAGCCTTTCACACATTTTAACATGTGGCATCATGGACTCTCCTATAACGGATGATATCCACATTAACCAGTTACCACTACAGATTGATTCTGCTCCGGATTATCTATCTGAGATCCGCCCACCCAGTATGTCTTCAGCAAGTTCAGGATCAGGTTCCAGCTCACCTATTACAATTCAGCAACATCCCAGATTGATCCTCGCAGATAATGGTTCTGCACCAACTTTGTAAGTTGGTTGGTTTTTTTTTCTGTTTTAAAATTTTGTAGTGAATTAAACTTAAGCAGGCAAGTTGCATTGGCTGGCTGTCATTACATAATGCTTATTTTGCCTAGAAAAGTATTTAATGATGTTGCTGTATTCAGAAGACTCCAGTACTCTATTTTGTGCAAATATAAATTACAGGATTTTTTTTTTTAAAGTCCTTAAATTTCTGGAGACGTTGACTTAACAGTGTCGCTAGAAGTGTGTAGAATGTACTTTCCTGCTTTGAGATTACCAGGATATCAGATACTGATTTACTTCAGAGCATCATTTTAAAATGCCATGTTTTCTTAGATGGAGCAAGGGAACTGATGATCTTTTCTTTGAGGGGCAGTCATTTCATATTAATTAATTTAGTTCCAAAAAAGCCTTTATTAGGAGGCTTTTAGGATTGTTGCAGTTGTGTTAACTCAAGTCTTACTTCTGATAGGGACAATAATTTTTGATGCATCTACCACCCTTTTTCTTTTATTCAGATCACAATGACAGTCAGATTTGAGGAATTAGTCTAATGATAAGCTTCTACCCCTTCCATAATTCTGAAGGGTTAAAACTGCTTGGTAGGCTGGTTTCTGTATGTGGTTGGGGTACAGCTAACCAGCAATCTTCTCTGTCATGTGGTATTCTGAAGGAATATTTAAATTAAGGAGGACAGTACAGATGTGTGGGATGTTTCTAATGAACATCACTAAGTTCAATTTCCTTCAAACGTTTACCTTTGCATCTACTACCATCAATGGTTTAATCTTCGATAACAGGACTTTAGTTTCTGAACCCATTTGGGGAGCGCTTGAAAACAGATTACGTGGTGGCATGTTTAGCTAAGTCTTCTTAAATGTGTGGTTTGCAGTTTCTGTAAACTCTCATTAGTTTTAGTGCTGAAATGTCCAAAATTGTTCAATTTGTCTCTTGAGAAGCTAGTTCACTTGAATGCAAGTATAATTTACTGTAAGAAACCTATTTTTATGGAAATACCACTGCTCTTTGGGGAAGGGCCATTTTATGTCTCATAATATCTGCTGTGTTTTATTTCCTCATTGCACATTTGAAATATGCCTAATGGTGCCATCATGTAATTAAATTTTGGCGCAGTACCTCATGGAAAGCACAAAGATAAAGTGCACAGTTTAAGAGCTCTTTTAAAGAGCTCTGAGTAGCTGTAGAAACATGAACTAACCAATCTTTGCAACACTTCCCTGGCATGGGTAATTAATCATTCATGTTCTTTTACTAGCTGTCTGTATGGAAGACAATTCCACTAAGAATTTTAGAGCAGATTCTGAAAAGCACATAGATGTGAAATTGTCTATTGCAATTAAGAAATTTGAGTTACTGTGACGTGTCCAAGGTTCCCTACTTACTGGTTTGATGTTTAGAGTATGGAAAAACTTGAATTTTATATTGTTTACTTTTTTCCACTTCACACTTTCTGTGAAGGAAATCATTGGCATAGGGCTTTTTTCATCAAAGGAAAGGTCATTATATCCTGTCATTATTAATTTGATAGATTCTTGGTCAGAAAACAGTGGTGGAAAAAAATTTTACACAGAAATAGCAGAGAATCTTATTTTAGATCCAGTCTGTCATTCAGGCATGTAACTACTATATTCAGTAGAATTATATGGCAAGTTGCTTGATTTTACTTGCTTGAAAAAATAAGTTCAGTTAAACAACTTGGAAGACAATCCTTTGACTCCTGATGGGAGCAATTATACACGTGGTGCCCTCAACTTTATTTCATTTTGATGTTCGACCTGCTTTCACAGTAACTGAGGTAACTGAGCACTGTGATTTATCTAAGCCTTTTTTCCCCTCAGTGGTAGTGATGATGAAGATGTTGCACCATTATCAGCAAAATTTGCTGATATCTACCCACTGAATAATTACGACGATGCAGAGGTGGTAGCCAACATGAATGGAATTCACAGTGAGCTAAATGGCGGAGGTGAAAACATGGCATTGAAAGATGAGGTACAGCATTTGCGGTGTCGCGTATCTTTTTCTGGCAGTCGGATGTGCTCGCTGGAGAAAGGCCTGTCCTTCATCTCTGTCTTAATGAGATAATGTTGTCCAGTCTCCTCAGGTGAGCAGTACTAGCAGCAGTTCCTCAGAAGCAGATGATGAAGAAGCAGATGGGGAGAGCAGTGGTGAACCACCAGGGACTCAAAAGGAGGAAATGTCTCTAGGAAAAAGGGCATTAAGGAAAGATGAAGCAAAAATGGATAGTCCACCACCTTCTTACCCTAGTCAGCAGGTATAGTAATCTAAAAGAAACCCTTTTAGTAAATTAACTTTTGAAATGTGGCTGCTTGAGTGACAATACATTTACATCTTTAATTAAATGTTTAACTTTTAATGTATTAAGTTACCAGTAGGTAGATATGATACCTAAAATATTTTTCAACTGATGGTATATTGTCATGGCTAGTATCTTCCAACAGTCAAAACCTGAAATATGTTAGTTATCTTGAAGGTGGCTTCAGTAGAAGAGGAGAAAATTTTAGTCCTGCCTGTATGTGTGAACAAGAAACAGAAATTAAAAAGCATTTCTGCTTCGGAGTTTGAGCTTGGTCTTTGTTAAATGTTAATGTTAAGTGGTTTTTTAATTAATTCGGGGGAGGAGTGGGAAATGATGCATGTGCTTAGTTAGCGGACACTTCTTAATATTACATCTAAGGATGAACGTTCCCTGTTGAAACTCCGTGTAGTTGAACCCATTGTATGACTTAGGGAATGGGTCTTGGGGTAGTTGATGGTTTTCTTTTTTTTAATAGTTTAAGGTTATTAAGCTTGTTATTGTAAGATCACCAACCCACTCAAAGAACAAAGCCTAGAGTGTCTGCTCAGCGGGTGTTGATGTTTGGTTTAACAGCTGAGCACCAAAGCAAAGCATCCAATGGACTTGTCTTTGTGACTCTGTGGCTCTTAATCCGAGTTACCCTGCAGTTACACCACTGGCTGCTGCTTTGGGAGAGAATGTACCAGTCACTTTTATTTCTTAATGTGCAAAAGAAGCCACATCAGAGGGGGCACCTTTGAGAGCTTAGACAGTCAGGTGGGAACTCCCATCAGATGTTCCCCTGTGGTTAGGAAGTTTCTAATACCTTCTGTTGGAAGTGTTTTCTCATGTGCTGAGCATATTAAGCTCCTTTTTCTTTCAGCACGTATGTTGAGATTTTTTTTCTGTATATGGCTGACCAGAGGCATGATACTTACATGGGCTGAAACCTCTGGCAAACTAGTTTGAAACTGGTGAACAGATTCAGCATTTGTTGTGGAAAATCTAATGAGATTATATAAGTCTGCTTGCCTTAGGAAAGCAAACCTAAAATGCAGGACAAAAAGGCAGATTTAACCTTTCTCTTTTTTATTTTCTTTGAGGAAAAATAATTTTCTCAGGATTATTCTGAGGAACTCTTAATGACTTTTTTAGCCTGATTTTTCTAATCAGAGCTGAGTATCTACCTTGTAATGCTGCATTCAAGTGATGGATTTCACTGGTACATGTCATGGGCGTTTGGTATTTTTTGGCATTATCTGTTGCAATTGCTCATTTACTTGGTATCTTTATTCCTCTTTGGATTCTTTTTCATATTCAGTACACAAAGGTTGGTCAGAATTGGATTTTGAGTCTCTATACTATTTGACATCTTTTGTTAGTAGATTAATTTTGGTTTCTTGAGAATACTGATTTTTTTATGTGAAAGTTATTTTTTTTTCCTCAGTATACACCTAATTAATTCAGTTGTTGTATTTGGTTTATGAAGTCTTTGGTTGTTAAAATATATGTTGTGTCAAAGGCTGTAATGCTTTTAAGTGATAATGAAGTGTTACTTGTTTCTGAGAGGAAGACATATTAAAGAATACCGCCTGTCAGTTCTTTTCTAGAAAGCTAAGTTAGCTAATGCTGCCTTTTGGAAAAATGTGTACAGCCACACTGCTGTGAAAAATAGCAACTGGGAAGTGTTCCTGGTGTTGCTTCTGGTAAAACTATCTTCCAGTGAAATGTCAGATGACAGTGTCAGGAAAAGTACTGAGCAGAGAACTGGGAATGGAGCTGCTCTTTCCTGGGCTGCTTTTCTTTCAGTCTTGGATCCTTTTGAGACAGCAGAGGCTATGATACCTTGAGATGAGTAAAAGGCTTGGATTTCTCAGGTTTGATGCAGTTCTGTAATTTTTAATGAGAAACTATCACAGAATAGTTAAGTTTGGAAGGGACATCTGCAGATATAGTCCAGCCTTCCTACTGAAAGCAAGGTCATCTAGAGAATGTTGATCAACACTGTGTGCAGTTGGGTTTTGAGTATTACCAAGGATGGAGGCTCCAGAACTGCTATGGGTAACATGTTCCAGTGTTCAGCCACTCTTACAAATAAATAAACACTTTAAGCTTGAGTGGAATTTCTGTATTTCAGTCTGTGCCTGTTCCCTCTTAGCATTTCATGGGATACCACTGAGAGGAGTCTGGGTCTGTCCTCTTTACTCTCCTCTTCCCCATCCAGTCAAGTAACTTACACTGATAAGATCCCCCTGAGTCTTCTCTCTTTGAGGCCGAACAGTCTCAGCTCCCTCAGCCTCTCCTTGTATGACAGTTGCTCTAAAGCCTAAATCACCTTTGTGGTCCTTCACTGGACTCACTGCAGTATGTCCATGTCTCCCTTGTACTGGGGAGCCTAGAAGTGGAGCCAGCACTCCAGATGTGTCTCAGTAGCGCTGAGCAGAGTGGAAACATCACCTGTTGATGTGCTGGCAGTGCTCTGCCTGATGCAGCTCAGGACTGCTTCCAGCTTTACCAGCTAATCAACCCTTGTTACTACTTTCTACACATACTATTTTTCCATAAACTTGGAAAATTGTGGAAAATAATAATAATCCAATTTTTTTTTATATTGGGGTAATTAATTGCCTAGTAAGGATCAAATACTATTAAGGTTCCTATTCCTGTCTGTTCTTAATTATTTGTGTTAGTATCTTACTTGTTGTCACTCACAGTGGACATTAAATACCTGTGTAGTATAAAATGCTGACAATTTTTAGGACGTTCTTTTCTTAACTAAGATAAAGATCTTCCACCAGTGCTTCTACTTCACTACAAGGTTTTTCTGTTGGTATTAGATGAAAGAACTCTGTGAATGTTCTGAAAACATTAATCAATGTATGCAAAATGAAATAATGATTATTAAGAAAAAAGGGTGGGGGAAATAGCTGATTTTCTTTTCTGTTGAGTAGATTGAACAAAATTTGTTTGGTTGTTTTTTTTTCTTACAGGCTGACCAAGGTCCCAATGCTTGTGAATGTCATGTTTGCAAACAAGAAGCCTCAGGTCTAACAGCCTCTGCACTTGCAACTGGACGCTTGCCTGCTGGCCACCAGTTTATGAATCCTGAAAAACCTGCACATCCTGCACTTCATCTTTATCCTCACATCCATGGACATATACCATTGCATACAATTCCTCATCTGCCTCGTCCACTTATCCACCCCACCTTGTATACAGCTTCTCCCTTTACACACAATAAGGTAAGCCTGATGGAGGAGGTGGATGCATCCTGGTCCCAGGAAAAATACTGTACGCCTGTATAAAACAGCATGACTGAGTGTCAGTGAAACCATGAAAGTGGCTTTAAATTGTGGTCAGTTTATAGCAGTCCTTTCAGAGGGAACAGTGAGGAATAGGGCAGATCCAGAACTCTGGAAGCTTCATGCAGCAGGGCTAAGGGTAGATTTTGTCAGGAAGACTGATGATTTCCTTGCTGTGATTAGAAAGAATGTGGAGTCAAATGAGTCTTCAGTGGTGGAAACAGTAATGGGGCTTTAGTCAGTGTGGTAGGACTAATTAAATCTTCATTTCCTATATATTGAAGGTCAAAATTTAGTATTCCATTTTGGCAATAATATCCTGAGGTTACTAGTTCAAAATACTAGTGATTTTTTTTTTTTTTTTTGAGACAGCTGAGGCATAGGAGTATATTTTTAAGTGTTTTTGTGCTTAGAGAAAACTTGCTTTTTTGCAGGTTCTGCAAAATTATTTTGACCCAAAACTTGTAAGTAATAAACAAGAGAAAGATGTGGAACAAGGATTGGTATCAGGTGACTGCTTTTCAGAAGTAGGAGTCACAAGAAAGAATTACTCTTAATGTGATGTTTTTTCACATAGTATTTAAATCAGTCGAACTGTGGGTGCTGCTGAAAGGGGCAAAGCCTTTGTCATCCAGTACATATTCCTGTTATCTCCTGTTCACCTGGTTCCATGGTTCTGTGGTTGCAAGGAGAGTAGGTTAATTCACTAAGGTGACTTCTCTTACTGTCCTTCTTAACATCCACTTTTTTTCCGGTCTTATCGGTGTCCCTTCCTTATCTCTGGTGCAGTGCATGAGTTCCTTAACTGCAGTGTGCCAGCCTGACGTTTCTGAGCAACCCACTGCCATTCTTCTGAAACCCCTAATTGTTGTGCCCCACCTTCTGCCACCCTTCCAGAGCTCCTTTTACATCCCATATAGCAGTCTACTCAAGCTCCCATCCATCTACTCAAGCCCCCATCCATGATCTCTACTGTCTTTCCTTTCAGAAGACCTTTGTGTAGTGGACCATCTGCAGTATGCTGTCAAGGCTACACCAGAAGCCCCATGCAGAGTAGCAGCCTGCTAGCGCTGAGTGGCTTTGTAATGCAGGCCAGATCTATTAGCTCTGGCACAGCACCTGAAGCAGCTGGGCTCCATGTATTTGTTACTCTGGAGCTAGAAAGACATACGTGGAAGCTGAAGCTTCGGGGAGCTTTTGCCTTTGAAGAGCCAGCTGAATTCAGCAGAGCTGGTGGTGAACGAGCTAATAAGCCCTGCTGGGTCAGGCTTGTTCATTGTGGATAGGCTTTTCTGCCCTGTGAGGTGTTTCTTTGAGCCTACGTGCACCAGATTTCTTTTATGCAGGGTATTCCAGCCCCTCCCACCTTTACCATTAGTCAGATAGTGAAAATCCTTCTGTATAGAAAAAGTTTGTTTGGCCATGAGTGTTTAGACTTCTGTGTCTGAAATGTCATTGGACTCAGCTGAAATTTGCAATGTCTATCTACTTCTGCATAGCTTTTCTTTGCATCAAATCAAGTGCAAAAAAAGAAGAAACTCACTTTTCCTTGTTTTTTTTAAAGGTGTTAATAATTGAACATAATGCACAAGGTCTCTGGGAGAAAGTTAGATTTTAAGAATGTGAATAAACAATTTCAGCTATAAAAAAATGGGGTGAACCAGAACAACTTGCCTCTATAAAACGAGACGCATGTGCTCCCTTTTCCCCAGTTGTTTCTTAGGATAAGAGGGTTCATTCCTTTCCTGTTAAGTCTTAAGTCAGGAACCTGTTAATACTTGGAGATGAAAAAAGCAGAATATAATCAACTTTAATATTATATTTTCAAATAATAAGTGTTTTATTTCTTTTTCTACTGCACTTATTTTCAATCCTGAAGTGTTTGTAATCCCTTTATCACAATTGTCTTATGTGGTAATGATTATCATGTCACAGAGGATTGTTTTTGGCAGCTTAGGCTTTGAAAGGTAATAATTTCTAATAAGTTCTACATTCGTATAAATACTGTTTTTAATTAAAAATGAGGGCGAACGAACATATATTAACCCAAGTATTTTGGAGAACGCTTTTTGTGTTTGTCAGTTAACTGAATCTAAAAGCAATGTTTGTGATTATAAAACATATACATGCAATCTGTGTAATATTATCTGCATTAAAAATCAGCAAACTGGTCTTTTTGTCATTCTAGGAAATATTGTTTATTATGTTTTTTATAATGCCTTTCACAATTGAAGCACTATGATTTGAATATTGCTGTTGGAGTGACTGTGTAAGCAAACAGAATATTAATGAGGAAAATACTCTTTATTTTTGTAGGCTTTACCGCCAGCTCCAGTTCAGAATCATACAAACAAGCATCAAGTATTCAATGCATCTCTCCAAGATCATATTTATCCAAGCTGTTTTGGGAGCACTCCAGATTGGAATAGCTCTAAATTTATAAGTCTCTGGGGATCAGAGATGATGAATGACAAGAACTGGAATCCTGCTACATTTTTGCCTGATACAATTCCTGGTGAGGGTTTGTTACTACTTCACACTGACTAGTTAAAAGCCTTATGTTTTGAAATGAAGTGTGACCCGTTTTTCCAGGAATGGTAGGTTTCATCATCATGGTTTTATAAGATGGGATTCTTGCAGAGATTTGCCACCATTTCTACTCCAGTGGGGCTGAAAATTGAGAAATAAATTCTCATGTACTGGGGTGAGGATGCTAAAGGCAAAATAGCAGCATGTTTTTATTTACCTGTGGTCATTGTAGAGGTATTTCTATTTTCAGACGTTTAGGGTTGCAAAGAAATGGGAATTAGGGGGAAACTTTAACTTCTAGTTTTCTGCCACAAAGGCCTGCTCTTTTTTACAAGGTCATAAGTGTGCTGGTAATATGGTACTACATCCTACTTCTTACAGTGCACAGAGGTAAATGCATTGTCAAAAAGACAGAGGCATAAATCAATATGGAAATACTAATGGTTAACGTGAAAGATAATAGAAATAACTTATAGATATATATCTCCCCATTCACATCATAGCAAATATTGAAACGCCTTTTTTATTTTATTTTATTTGACTTGCATGAAAAAGGAAGCTTGGTTTTGTGTGCTGGCTTTTTTTCATACTGCTCTGCTGTTAACTTTTGTCCAGCTACTACAGCAATATTTAAGAAAGGCCTTGAAAACCTCCAGCAAACTTCCCTGGTAGCATAGCCCGTGCGTTTGCAAATGTAGTTATGGGGAGCTGTTCCAACAGATGGGTAGTGGCAAGCAAGCTTGTGTGGAAGGTCAGTCACAGAGGTGTTACTGTAGTTAGCTGGAATTACCAATAAGTAAAGATAAGATTTATGATGATATATTGATAGAAGGATACGTTGTTTCAGCATATAATTGTTGCATGGGTAACCTGGACTTCAGATACTGACACTTCTATACTTGGCATGTAAAATGGTGTCCAGTTTTACTTTTTAAATTATAAGTGGATAAAGGTGTCTGTAGCATCTTTGCCACTTGTTAACACATATTTAGTAGTGTTCTTAAAATTGTAACTTTAAAGTTTGTGACTTTTGCTCCAAGACTTCTGAGCACTTTTGTTAGTTACGTTATTTGGGGAGCAGAGAGGGGAAAGGAGGATCGCTTCACTAATCCTATCAAGCCAACACTAACAATATATACTTGCTTGTCTGCATCTAAATTAATTAATGTTTAATTCTAAATGCAATAAAGACAATTCTGTAATAATTATTTACTGTGTGTGTTTTAATTGAAGGGAGTGATATATTAGCACCAGCACTCTCAGAGATAAGACCCGAAGCACTTCCTACTACATCTAGCAATGAAGCAACAGCAGTTGCTGACAGCAAAGAGAAAAAAAATGCTGCAAAGAAGAAATGTCTGTACAATTTCCAGGATGCCTTTATGGAAGCTAATAAAGTTGTCATGGCAACCTCTTCTGCCACTTCTTCTGTCTCCTGCACAGCTACTACGGTGCAGTCAAGCAGCAACCAATTCAAAGTATCATCCAAGAGACCTTCATCGATAGGTAAGGATTTATGATTCACACACAGCTTAGTAACTGACTGACGTACCTTTCACTAACCATAAAGATTTATATTCATTTATTTCAGTAATATTATGTATGTATTACGGATACAGATTCTTATCAGTAATAAAATTTATTGTTTTAGTTGATCGCTTTTCTTACTTCTCTTGAGTTGTAGTCTCTGTACTCCTCGATTAAAGAACTCTGAAGTCAAAGACCTTGGTGTTAGAGTTTGGAACTGAACAGAAAGGTGTAGAAAGTACTACCCCATTTTTACAGAAGCTGAGAACATCCAGCAGCACTTTGCATGGTTGTTTGGATAGTTAATGGAGACTTATTAATTATTTTTAATTGTAAATTATTTATTTTTTCCCCAATTTAGGTGAAGTTTTCCACAATATTAATAAAGAGGACCATAGACATTCTGCACCAGTTGCACCACGAAATAGCCCTACCAGTTTAGCATCCCTTCCTTCACTGTCTCCTGCTGCACTGTCTCCAGCCTCTACACCACATCTTCCCAATATTGCTGCTCCTTCTTTCCCCAAAACTGCTGCAACAGCCCCTGGATTTGTGGATCCTCATTCAGGTCTTTGTCCTACTACAGTTGCACCTCCTACTTCAACCACAGACAGCTCTGTAAGTGCCCCACCAAGTGTCTGCAGGTAAGGTTGTTGTTATTGTCATTCTTTTTTATAATACAAGGGGAATTAAATTAGATACCTTTTCTCCTTTGCCAGTGGTTGTGGCGTGAAAGAAGAGCTGTCTGTGTGTTCAGCAAATGAGACTGAGTTCTGATACTCAGTACATAATTTGGTGTGAGACTTTACAGATACTATTTCCATTGCAGAATCTGCTTACTGAGTTTGGAGGCTTAAAAAACAAATGTTTGCTTACTTTTAGAAACGTGGCCTGGGGTGAATAGGTCAAACTGTATTCTCTCTTTGTCATTGTCAGTAGTGATTGCCGCTGCTAACACACAAACCTGTTCTATAATGTATCTGTTTT